TTGAGCATGCAGGACCATGCCTGTCACTGCCATGCCTTGGGTTAGTAAAGCTAGTAGCGCTTCGCGCGAAGACTATCACGGTGTTCTGTCTCACTCCGTAGATAACAAAGGCGTACGATTCTTTATCGCGATAGCAAACGTCGATTTGCCTCTTGGAGAACGGTGCCACGGTGTGATGTTGGAGTTTCGCGGCACTGTAGGGTGGCGAACAGGTTCGATCCGTGCTCGCTGGCGTATTGTCGTCGTCTCTTTCGTGTGGACACGCTTGGGAGACGGACGAACAGCGGGTATGTCTTCACGTGATCGGTTCGTCCGCGGATCGGTCCGTCGTGTGAATGGGCCATTAAAGGGGTCGTGCAAGAATATTAGACTGAAATGTTTCTCACTTTACACAGGCTTAACTTCACTAGCGGGATTCAACTTGAGTGGTGACATCTCAGTCATTTTTCCGCCCAATCGTTTTTTTATGCATTTTGAAGCGCGCGCAATCCGGTGTCACTCAGCTCGAGCGCGTAGCTTTGGCTAATGCATAGACGCCATTTTACCGCCCAAGTCACGCACCGAGTGCGCCAGAGCGTCACGCGCTGGCACGTTCAGGGCAACAATGGATTTCTTCACCCTCAGACAGTCAGACATGTAGGCACCTTAAAGTATACTCGCACACAACGCCACTGACCGGGAACATTGGGGACGGTGTAATTTCAAGAATAAAGGCGGAATTTTTTTGTTTTTATTTTAGGCTCCTTTGCAAAGTTTGATGACGTAGTCACGAGGATTACACAATGATGACGATATTCAAACGCAGCTCATAGATTGGCCACGAGCACTGCGTGAATACTCGGCTTTGGCTCGAGACAATGAATACCCAATCGGACATTCGGTAGTAGCTCGTGTCAAATCACGGCATTGACGGGAACTGCCGAATTCTAACTATGCCTGAAACTCAGCATGTGGCTTGTGCTATGCCAACCCGAGCGCCTGACTATGATGAATAATAGAGCGGTTTAGAATAAGGAACCCCCACGCTTTGGGTTCCCCAAAGCGTCTGACCTACTATTCTAAAACTCCCCATGGGCGGCATAAAATCGGCACCATGGATGGGCTTGCTAGAAACGGCTGTGTGAAAGAAAGCCTGTCAAGTGTGGGGCGCGCGATCGCTTGAGACTCGACTTCAAGTACCAGTCCGCTCATGCATCAGCTTTGGCAGTGTTTTACTTCACCAAGTACATAAAGCCGGAGTCGCATTGCTTGTACATCATACAAACGACATTCTGCGTGCAGATTCGAACGCGAGTCACCGCGAGATTCGTTCTTCGAATGCCGCGTGGCAATGAGTTCAAGGAGGAAACTTGGCACGCGGCATTCGAACCGCGGACATTGCAGTCACTCGTGTTTGCAGACTGTCTTTTGTATGATGCAACTGCCATTTGGCAAAAAAAATGACAACAACTAATGCGTATTTTACAGGTTATGAGCCCTAAGGATTAGTTTTATACGGTCTTTAGGGAAAGTACAGAAATTGTTGCCATGCCCCCCGTTAGTGAAATCCCCACGCATGCCCAATTCTTAACGAAGTTCCAGCTGTTTGTCGGCAGAGTGAACCCCGACAAGGAGCTCTCAGCGTCTCCGAGGAGGCCGACTATCCGTCAAGGACGTGCTCGAAAAGGTGCCTTTGGCACATCAGAACGTAAGAAGAGACACCCTATTCCGAAGGCAAGACAAAATGGAGGCGCAGGGAACGCGCGATGGTGAAGCAGCCGAGCCCGTGCTGTCATTGGATGAGGACGGGGGAAAACGAAAGCACGTGCGCGCATCTGGGGTAAACAAAGGCACTAGAGCAGACGAACTTCCGTGCAGAGCAGTCCCTGGAGGAAAGGGGGAGTAGAAACTATGCATCCTCTCGCTGCACGCACCCGCTGAGGTCACCGTAACGGCGTGTCCCCGTTATCGTGGACGTGCGGAAGTTCGTTGAAGCGAGGTTCGCAGAAACTTTGAAATTCGCCTTACAGTTTCGTCTACATCTCGACGCTACACTCGACTTTCTGTGATTCAAACCAATGTTGTTTTGTTCTGCATCCAGTGAGAAGTCATCAAGAAGCCTTCTTAGATACGTTTTGATAAAAATGTCCATTGTGTTTACTGCAGTGACGAGAATCGAAACCAATACATCTATTGAAGTGAAGATCTGAATTGTTAATCCAACAATGAAAGGCAATTAAATAAAAATTAAGCGACATGCTCTCTTTCTGTTAAATTTGTGCGCGCAAAAGCAACAAAGGATGGGAGTGATACACTGAATATTACTGAAGATAGTATTAATTGAATTTCCTATCGATAAGTAGATGTCGTCTGTATAAAGCTAATTTCTGTGCCAAGCGAAGGCAAAACGGGACACGAGACAGACTGAGTACTTCGTACGCTTCACCGGTTATGATAATCTGCTAACTTCCCCTGAAAAAAAAAATAAAAAAAAAGCGTGTAACAGAGCCAGAAACAAAAAAAAAAAAAAAAAAAAGGTTCATCCTGTTCTTGTTTATTTTGTTGATTTCCTACCATCTTAGTAACGGAAGTTGGCGGAAACATCTCTGACGCGTCGAGGAGGGGGAAAGAGAAAAAGGGGGTCGATTCTTGAGTCAGGGCTTGAGTCAAAGTCACGCCAGACGCGCAGAAAACACATCCTTAAAAGCAGCTAAAACTCTAGCAAAAACAAATGTACTACCTCGTAATAAACTCGCAGGCATTATTCATTTCACATCGAAGAACGAATGAAAACGGCTATAATGATCTGCGTTTACATTATCAATCAAGATTGGGAATTCATATCACACACCAATGAGTGTTTCATTTGCTCTTTGTTTAGTGAGGAATGCACAGTCTTCTTTTTGTCTATCTTCTTCAAATTACTTGTATTTGTTTCCTTCGTCTTCTTTTTTTAAAAAAAGTAAAGAAAGTGTTAGTGTTTCCCGCTTTGGGGAAGCCAACGTTTCGCCATGTCGCTTTCTGTGCCCTGAACAGCTTTGTCCTGTCGCAGTGGTGTCCTTTCATCGTCTGCGTTTGCTAAGCTGGTCATCCCCATCATGTACTTACAACGTTTACGAACTGGCTCATTTTGCTACCTTGGCACTTTGTTTCCTTTCTAAGGCTGAATCATGCACTTCCGACTGCTTACGAGTGTGCGCCTTCAAACCTCTTAAAACCTCTTACGAGGAGAAAACACCCTGGTGCCATCTATCGGGTCGACGTGGAACACTTAAAACACAATTTCGAGCTTCATTTTTTTTTTTCTTGGCTTCAAAAACAAACGTTTTTGACAATGTTGTAAACGATTATTTCTCAATAGATACTACGTCAATTTAATCTCTCAAATGAGGCAAAACCTTCGCTTTAGTGATATGCAGTTCCAGGGTCACTCATAGATGGCGCCAGCGTGCCAGCGTGTTCTCGCGTCATAAGAGCTCATAAGAAGTCGGTCCTAGGCAAACGCAAGCGTGTGAACGGGCCTTTCTTTGAAAATAATTAAGACGCGAAATCAAGGTGTAACCTGCACACGAAAAAGTCTCCTTGTGACAAATGGCGCGCAAAAACGAGACCCTTAAGCTTCACTTTTACGAATTCATCTTACAACCCAAATTGCGCGAGAAAATATGTCCCAAATTTAACCGCTCGTTTAGAAACTGAAACAAAAAGACTAGCTTTCTTAGTCTGCTCTCAACAAAGTGTCGCTTTTGCACATTATGATTTTGAAATTTGCGCATTCTGTTTCGTTATCCGGACAAGACGAAATCGTATAGCACCCACTTTGGCATTAGCCGTGTTGACTGACAGTAACTCTTGCATGTGTGCTAAAACTTTGCCGAATACTTGTCAAAGGTTCGTAGGAAAATTGAGAAAACGCACACTCGACTCCAAGTTGAACGTTCGCCGTTGAGGGAAAGGCGAAAACACATTCATTAAAACTCATAAAAAGTTTCGTCGTTGTCCATGTAAGCAAATGGTTATGGCTTAAATTGGTGCAACCTTTACGTTACCCGTAAGATGACCGACAGAAAAAAAAAATCAAATGTTCGATAGTGAAATAAATCTACCCTATACTGAGCCATTGGGTTTTCAAAAGGTTTTCACGATCTTTGAGTCTATCGACGCATACCTCAATTACGTTTCACCAGTTGGCGGCGTGGCGACCAGGGAAAAATTGTGGGCATGAGATTGTCCGAAAACTATCGATTGCTCTGACCGTGTGACTGCGCGCAGTCAATACAAGACAACAACAATGGATTGTTTGTCTTTAGCAAAGAGAAAGGCATACACCATTATCAGCGCACTAGGTTCTTTTAAACGCAGCAAACCCGGTATATTAAACTGTATTTCTGCTGCTTTTTGTAGTCATACAAAATTTTGATTGGGGGGGGGGGGGGAAGAGAAAGAGAGAGAGAGAGAAATTGTTGGAAATGTGAATAGGTTATCAACTGATGATTCACTCGACGGTCCTTCAGACATAAAGGACAGGGTAACATTCTAAGCCACACTGTGCGGTTCTTAAACTGTCAGTGCCATTCAGGGTACTCGAGGAGCATACTTTCTTTTATCTGAATATCTCGACGCTTCATTGTATTCCATATTGAACTTCGACACTTTGAAGTACGTTGCAGGGTGTTTTGCTCGTTGTTTGTAGCAGCTGAATAGATATATTTGCAAATGTGGTCTTCAGCGTCTCCTCATTACTTAATGTGTTACTAAATAAAAAATAAAATAAATAGAAGAAATGCAGACCCACCAACCATTCCACCAACAAAGAAAAAAAAAAGTAGAAAAGAAGAGACGGTGGCGTCAACAGCAGCACGTGGTTGTAAGCCAAACAATCGGTGCGCGTCGGGTCCGCCGGTGGGGGGGAACCCCTCGCCCGAACCCTCGAGCGGGGCGCCACCGTCGGAACCCCAGCCAATGGGCGCGCCGAACGCTTCGCGCGGCTACGAGCGCGCCGCGCACCCCGCGCGCTCACCACAGACGCCGTTCCGTGATTGCGAAGGCGCTGCGAGACTCCGTACCGTGCTCTGTTGGAACCGCTGGCTCCCGAATCGTGCTTTGTCGTTGTCGCGCTGTGTGTCGTGTCGTCGTGTGTTGTGTGGGGCATGAAGACGCGAGACTCGCGGGCTCCGGTTTGGATTAGGAGCGCGCGATGAACGACGGAGGCACAGCGGTTGCTGCGCGTTGTAGCGTCGCTCCTCGTGGTGGCGGACGGCGACGTCGCGCGGTGTTGTCATCCGTCCTTGGCGAGGAGTGAGGCGGGACCCCAGCCTGCCGGGACCATGTGCGACCCCCGAACGGTGATCGAGGGATCGCTCAAGTACCGCGATGGACGCAAGGTGAGTCTGCAAACCCACGTCGATTATCTCTCCTCCCTTTCATGCTCTCTCTCCCCTTATTTTTTATGGGCTGATTTTTTTTATGTATTACTTTTTGATCGTAAAGTTTTGTAAAGCAGACGCTTTTTTTCTTCTTTTTTTTTTTTGCGTAGTTTATTGAGGATTAGGCTCGGCGATGTAGAGCAAATGAGCCACAGCTGGGTTCAAAGGGGTGTGATGAACCACCACGGTGTTCATTTTTTTTTACAAAAAGTTGCATTTGAGATTAACTGAGGTGTCCAGAGCCAGATCGGTGAGGTATGCTGAGCGGGACAAACAGCATTTTTAAGATGGACGCGTTGGTTCCGTAAATATCATTCCCCGAGCTACAAAACTAGCTAAAAAATTAACCCCGTGACAAAAAGCATCCTGTCAATAAACATTCCCTACTGCGGAAAGGTCGAGCTTCAATTATTTCGGACCAATCTCCTTTCTCCAAAACTAACAAAACATGCGGCAACCTAAAAATAAAAGTAACGCAACTGAGTGACCCATATTGGCGCCAGATAAAAATAATCAAAGCGAGCGTTTTTGTTTTCTTCTCGTCAACCGACGCGCACTATCGCGGGAGCGAAGACATCTCGGAAGAGTGCCCGTCTAGGACAATTTTATTCGCATCTTCTCACGTCGCAGTCGCTGCGACGAGCGTTGTTGACAACGTTCGCCTCCGATAGCCGCTTCTCAAACACTATGGAAATTGAATCTCGGCGTCGCACTGACAACCTGCGTCGCGCGACGCGGAAGACCCCATGAGGGGAGAAAGGGTGGCTCTTATAATGTGTTGACACTGACGGGCAAATACAAAACAAGGAAAGGCGAGAAAAGACACTTATCTCCGACGCAGCCTGACCTCTCCGTAAATCGAAAAACAAGGGGAAAAAGAAAAGCGAGGGTGGATGATAGTCGGAAACCGCGGAAGCTCGTCGGAAAAAGAAACGGAGGATCGTTTCGAGCTTCGACGACGCCGCTTTTATGGCGCGCAGTTTACGGCCTATCGCTTGGCTGAGACTCGTTCAGAATCGCTGCTGGATTAACTGGGCTCGTGAAGCGCCAACACCAACTAAAGAAACACGCGTCGTCTCTCCTCCACCCCCTCCCCTCTCCGCTAGATAGAAAAGCGACGGAGGGCGACTAAAGTTGACAATAGCTAGCGGGGCTTTGTTGTTGCTGTGTTGCTGTTTTTTTCGAGGGGGAGGGTGTATCCCTCCCCGACTGCTGGCTCGGAGCTGTCAGTTCTCGTCTACTGCGACGCCTCTTTGCTATTACCGTTTTATTCCCTGTGGGCTAAGGAGGGGGGCCTCTGTTTAAAATCGCGGTACGTATTTCTTTTTTTTTTTTTCTTTTTTTTTTCTTTTTTTTTTGTGGGAGGGAGCGCATGCATGCTGCCGGGAAGCGAAGCTCAGTTTCATATGATTCGTGGCCCTGCGCTTATCTAACACTGCGTGTGTGTCAGAAGTGTGAAGTTATGGCTTCGAGCGAGTCGGCTTTGATTTTGATTAATTATTATGTTTAATTTATTCTTTTAATGAAAGAGATGTCTTCACTCGCTTTATTTATTCGTTAACCTTAATGGACTGATGGGAGGTAGACACCTAACTATTAGTAGGAGGAAAAAAGGAAGAGCGTTCATTCAGAAAACTTTTACGGCAATTTACAGGTTCAGCCATCGCAGTCTTCCAATCTTTCCCGCTTTCAATTTTATCCGTCATTATTTTCATATTAATTCTTCTCGCAGAATTTATTTATTTATTTATTTACATGGAAATCCGCATAACTGTTTTGGCATTATTCCAGGGTACTTTGTGTACAGAACTTTTCTCGTAACCATTACACAAAAAAACATATTTTTTATCTAGCACAAATAAAAACTAAAAACAATATCAGGCAAAACTCACTTAATGCTAAAATATTAAAAAGAAACACACTCACACACACTAAAAAAAAAAAAAAGAATTTTATTTCATCATTAAACATTACTTCGAAAATCAGGCAAAAATACATCCTTCGGCAACTTGTTCTACTCTTCTATTATTTTTGGAAAAAACGAAAAGGCAATCATATCAGTACGACTAGAGTAGGGTCGTATTTTTCTTGGGTTGTCTGCTCTTCCCAATACATAAAAAGGATCATGCAGACATGTGTCCCTGCTGAGTAGGAGGCAATTTCGATACACAAAGTGTCACAAAAAAATATTACAGGTTTTTTTTTTTGTCTTTTTGTTTTTTTACCGCAGAAATAAACTAGGCATCGCCTAGGGTGCTTCAATGACCTTCTGTTTAGAGTGATGCCACCCTTTGTAGTACCCGATGCCGACAGCACGCGCTCACGGGGAAAATACGAAGAAATCGACGAAAACAAAATGTCGCCATAGCGCAGTCAGCGCCACAGACGTGTGCAGGGACACACTCTTTCACGCGCTTCTGAAGAAAAAATAAATGTAAAAGTTGGAACAAAATGGCCAGATGTCTCTACCCTAAGCAAGGCGCACATGAAGGCACCCTAGCATCGCCGAATGCTCATTCTCCGCCCAAAGGTAGTGCTAGAGGTCACAACCAGATGCCAAAGTTACAGCCCGATCCGTTACCTTATTGAAAAGTTATAAGAGATTTTCTGAAAATTTCAATGGTAAAATGAGCCCATTTTTTCCCGTTTTTGGTTTCTGGTGCCCATAGAGCCCCATGTATTCAAAAACACCGTCGGCCTTCATATTCCTATTGAAATTTTCAGAAAATCCCTTATAACTTGCATTGCTTAATGTCAAAACTCAGACTGCGTTTTTAGGTCTAAACATATGTTTCGGCATCGTCATTCGCCGAGCTGCCTCCGTAAGTTGCGGTGATTGGCTCTCCGAGTGTTGTGCGGGAAAAGCAGACTCAGGGGCTTTTTTTTTTTAGAGTGTAGGACAGTCTGATACCACTTCCTGTCGCCGGCGCTTTTCCAAAACTGTCGTTGTAGTCAGTGCAGCAAAAGCGTTAATTTGTTTCTTCCGTGCCTGTTCCTACAGCCGTGTCACACAAGCTAGACAAACGCAGATTATTCGCAGATATAACGGTATCGGGTATTCGGTAACCAGAGAAACCTTATGAAGTACCGGCTGTTGACAAACTTTATCGCTTTGTAAAAAAATAAATCAAATCGGGTGACAAAAAAACAAGTTACTAGCAAAGCGAATTTTACATGTCCGGGATCTGTGTTTGTTGCTTGTCGTCCAAGTGTGACGAGGCCCTTGTTGTACGGAAGCGGACCTTGTGATAAATTGTGTTGCTTAGTCGATGTCACTTTCGTTTCAGTGGAAAAGTCGCTGGTGCGTGGTCTCCAAGCTCTCGCCCGTCGCAGGTGATGCTGGTTACACTTTCAATATCTTTGTGATTCAAATGCGTCTTGACGCGACTTCCAACGTCACGTCTTCGACAAAAAAAAAAAAAAAAAAAGGTGTCAACTGGTTACACCAATCCTTGGGATTCCTGACTTCTTTTTAGTAACGTCAATACAAGATACGACGAGAAATTAAGACGACGTATAACTCTCGTATGGGAGCGGTTTGCGCAAGCGTCGTTAATCAATAAGTAATGGGGAGTAAGCGGCTGCATGTTAAAGTCTCCAATTTGTTTTATTTTATCATTTATCAAATAAGAGAAAGCATGGCGCAGAAGTAAACAACACTCGTTCTCAGATCAAGAAAAGAAAAAAAAAAAAGGAAGATTTATGAATTTGTCACGCGGTGCTCGAAGTAATTCTTAGATGATTTAGTTGCCAGAGAAAGAAACGAGGCTTTGGCGTTTGAAACGTGTGCGTCTTGATAAAATAACGTAAAACTCATGTTAGATGAATCCACATGTACCGTAATTTACCCCATAAAGGGGGCAATTAAGTACGCTCCTCTAAACGCCGGAAACTTTTTTTTTTAATTTTTATTACGGTTTTTAATATAATTACGAGTACAGCCAATTTGAATTTAATGCTGGCGAAGCGAAAGAAGCATAACCAACTTTATCCACGTACTCTAAAGCCGGCGTCACACTGCTTATAGGGAGTATTTACTGGACGCCATATTTGTGGGTACTGTTTAGAGCGCATGCTCAGAACCAGCTCGCATCAATAGGCTGCTAAGACCGCCACTCTTGATGGTGCGGAATGCACGTTGCAAAAGAACTGTGGAAGCTCGCCATCAGCACGCGCTCAGCATTCGCGCACACAGCTATGGCCGCCAGTGAATACTCCCTATTAGCGGCGAGATGTTTTGGTGGCGCCCTCCGTTGGTGGCCCCTCGTGACGTCATTACCCCACGAACAACAAGTTCGATGGTGTTTCTAATGGAGCATGGTGGAACCATGAAATCATTGCGCTCTGTAACCAACGCTACCAACACCGCCAAAATTGAAGTTCTTCCATTCCTCTTATTTCCGTCGATGAGAAATCCTTTGCTGACGTCATAGTCAGCATTCGACCAATCGTGGAAGGACGATTGCAGCGACGCTTTTGATCGCACACGTCGCTAATAGGGTGTATTCACCGGACGCCATATTTGAGGGCGGTGTTTTGCTCAGAACGTGCTCGAATTAATAGGCTACTAAGACCGGCAATCTTCATGGTTTATTGGGAAATGCACGTTGCAAAAGAACTGTGGAAGCTCGCTGTCAACAGGTGCTCAGTAGCTGCGCACACAGCTATGGCCGCCAGTGAATTCTTCCTATACATGACACAAAAGACAGTCTGCATATAGACGCTTTACACACGTGCCAAATTACAGCCGCCATTGCTGACCTTCTCCTGTCTTACCGAGATGCCTAGCAACTGAAACGGTAGTTGCCGATCCTCTACAAAGGCCGATGCTTTAGAAAAGGACACAGTTGAATCTAATATGGCAATAACCTGGCCTGCTATGATAATGATGAAGTGAAATAAACGGAATAAGAGGAAACAAAAACTGAAGGTCAGTTATGGCGGCGTCCATGCACAGCTGCTGCAAAGCGTCTATAGATTTGAACGCGAGTCACCGCGAGATCCGTACTTCGAATGCCATATGGCAATGAGTCCGAGGAGAAGCTTGGCACGCGGCATTCGAACCGCGGACATTGCAGCGACTTGTGTTTGCAGACTTTCCTATGTATGAGGTATGAGCGGTGTGACTCCGGCAAGCTGAAGCGTCTTCATTTGTTCTCCAGGATCACGAATGTCGAGATTATCTTTCAATTTGGTGTCCGGAGGCTGCACATCATTTTCAAAGTACCGCCGTATCCCGCTCTTCCCCAAGCGTTACGCCATGAAAGGAGTTTTCGGAATCTCCGCTCTGGCGCATCTTCAGCGCCTGTCAGAGCTCTCGGTGTTTTCAAGAAGGTCAGAAAAAGACGTCACGACTGGTGTCAGTGCGGGGCACGGCGGTGCGGGGGAATATACCTGACAAGCTCGCAACTGCACGCGCTGGTCAATGGCATGCGCTTGCCGGCCCAAAAGGTTCTCTAATAGCGTAACGACTGGTCGGAGGTCTTGCGTGTTTTCTCGCGTTATGGTTACATCTTTTTAGAAAACAAACGGGATATTCAGATTTACAGCGGAAAAAAATACTCTAAAACTCATGTCTAACTCGCTTTTTTTTAAAGAATGTTTCTAGATTCATTTATAGGCCGCAGGCGCACTGCTCATATACGACACAGCGTTCGCTGTAGACATGATGACATACTTAACTTCTAAGCATGTTTGCTTCATACATGCTTTGCACATATCACTAGACAGTTTTTTTTATTACCAATGTGACGTACAGGACTCTCATGCAAGTAAGAACTCTTTAAAAAATATTTTCAGACCGTCCTTTGTATGATGTATTAGCAGTCTGACAGGGACTTAAAGGTTACCCATGATGGAATGGACGCTTATCGAGAGTGAAGCGTGTTTTCATTAAAGAGAGTCTCCTTTAAAAACCAAACAAACATAAAAAAGAAACCTCGCAAAGATAGTGCAATGCTTCCTTCCATACCACGCGAAGAGACCGCTTTCATTTCGGGTCCATTCCCCTGAGCAGAACACGCAGGGGGTCGCAAGAGCGAATCCTTCCGCTGTGCTGCAGCCTCCCGGTAGCTTCATTGGTTCCCCCTGAGCAGTGCGGTGACCAGACTCGCACATTTAACACGCGGGCAGCGTTCGCGCGATGCACGCGTGTCTCTCGCGCCTCTGGTTTGTGTTAGCAGCGCTGTTACTAATGAGCCCCTCTAATGGCCTTCGGTGGAAGGCCGCTCTAATTAGGAATCCCAGCGCCAAGGAGAGGAGCGGCGAACAAGTGTGGCGCCTTAACGGAGCGACTCGCGCGCATTAATCCCACGCCGGTCTTACACGGGGTGCCGGCGGTCCAGACCAGCGGCCTGTTGGCTTTTCCGCTTAACAGAGCCCAGAGCTCTCCGCGCGGGAGTGCCAGGACCCGGAGGGCTTAGCTGGACGCTGTCGAAACGCCGTCCCTCGGGTCTATGGCAGGCACCGCTCCGCCGGCATATCCCCGGGACAGGCTGAACTCTTCTTGGCCACCGTGCATCGCGCGCTGACGGACCCCGCTTCGCCGTTTTCATTCGAGTTGGTGTACGCTCTGTGTCTCGGTTAACGAATGGCAAGATCGTGCT